TACCCCCTCTCACACACCCCTCCGACCTCCCCACCACAACCACCACCTTCTCTGCCCCCCCCTCACACCCTCCCCTCCGGCCCCTCCGCCCCCGCTGCCCGTGTCCGTGCGGGCGGTGCCGAGCCCTGTCCCTGGTGCTGATCGCTCCCCGCCGCCCGCTCTCCCGGGGCGGCCCGGCACCCCCGGCGGGAAGGGCCCTCCCCCGTGCCCGGGGCCCCGGAGCCTGGGCTGCCCTGCCCGGCCGCTGGGGCAAACGCCTGGGGCAATTCTGAGCCGGCGCGGAGCTTGAGGGCAAAATCGGGGGTTTGGCATAGCTGGCTTGCACGCTCCGTGTGCATCTTCTTGCAATCACCGCCTCTCCTCTCAGGGGCTTTAAACAATACGAATTTCTCAGGTTTCTATTAGACTTTAAAATGAGAGCGTTAGCTTACAGGTAATGTGGAGAAGACCTCCAAGGATCTCCTCTGTCATTGCATCGCTGGGCACGGTGTCGGTAGTGGATCTGTGACTAGCATTTTATAGCTTGTCTTGTAGTTTAGCTAAAAGAGATCTTCTCAAGGAAAGAAGAGACTAGCTGACACATAGTGCACAAATACGTGAGCTATCGGGAGAAGTTTTCAGCTATAGTATTGGAGGTCCCGCCTGACAGCCAGCCAGCTCAACAGCGCAGAACCCTGCTCCAAGAGCACAGTTGTCTGTGACGTCACCCGTTTCTTTCCTAGTGATGACTGCAAATAACTGTTATAGAAATCCATCTAACCACTTCCGTTGCCATTTGAGGTATTTGAAATGGCTAATACCACTGTTGTTTGATACAGAGTGATCTTTCACTTGTTTCACATATGTAGATATACACGTAATGACAGTTATCTGGCTCTGTCTCATTAGAAGCACCTAGCTGTTTTTAAGAGAGTTTAATTTTTGAATATTTTTATAGACCAAAAGACATGTGTTTTCATGTATTGAAATTGAGACCAGTTCATTGTTACAGACCTGTAAATATTTTGGTATTGAATATACTTGTACATAAAAGATTCCTTTAAAATTAATGTTTCTGTGTTGCCTTTTCAGGGGGAATTGTTAAATCCTTGCCGCTGCGATGGGTCAGTACGATACACACATCAGCTCTGCCTCTTAAAGTGGATAAGTGAAAGAGGGTCATGGACCTGTGAACTCTGCTGTTACAGATACCATGTTATAGCAATTAAAATGAAGACACCATGCCAGGTAATTTATTTGTTTGTTTATTTGTTTTTAAAAATATGTCTTTCCAGTTGTTTTTTTTTTAAATAGTGGTACTTAGGTTTATTTGAAGGTTTTTGGAAAATACAGTGGAAGAGCCTATATGCTTTATCAGTTAGCACTTGCACCCACTTGAAGTTTTTTTTTAAGAACAGTTACAGATTAAAATGTGCGGTCGCTTGCTTCTGTTATGTTCTTCTAGCTTTTGGCTTGCTGTAGAAATTGTCTTCAGAGACTTAAATTCTGTAATTAGAGAAGTCATACTGAGATGTGATGGAACTTGGATCTCCTCGATTCACTTTTTAAACTCTAAACGTGTCTTTATAATTTGTTAAAGACTCAGTCAAAGGTTGATTTCTTTTATTCTTCCATGAGGTCCAGAGAAGAGAGGTGAAGAAAACTTCTGTTTTGTGTGTATTCACCTACTGTAAACATGCAGAAAGAGGTGACTTTTCAGTCTTGGCACAAGAATGCTCTTTAAGTTTTGTCCACCAATAGCTGTTTCAGAAGCTGAAATGTGCAGTAACATTTTTCCCAGCTCCCTTTTAACAGCATCACAACACACATCTGGAATTTGGAATATTATGGTGGTAGCATGTTCAGGGAGAGGAGAGGGGAAACTTAAAACTTTAGCAGATCTGTTAGGGAAGCCTTAGTACCACTTTGCATACCAAAATTCTTTAGAGGCTTAAAATTCCATCCTAGAAATTGTATTTCATAGATCTGAGGAACACATTTAGTAAGATAATTATATCTTTTTTTTAGTTTTGATCCTATGAGCCCAGAGATGATGGGGCTCTCAAAGGCCAGATCACTCGGGTCATTTTTCTGTGCCTGAGTTTGATTGAAGTTTTATAGAAAAGACATGCTTGGATGGTAATGGTAGTTGTGTGAGCGTGATAAGCATTCCTTGGATGTAGGATATCTGGAGTATTTGCTTACAGCTGTTCAGATTAGGTGCAAGTACTTTCAGAGCCAGTTGTGACTTGAAGTTTTTTCTTTATAAATGCACAAAGGAAACTCTTTTATGAACTTTCCTGGGTAGAACCTTTAGGATGTAAAAAAGCCATGGATTAGTAAAACACTCCAGAAAATGAAAGTGCTAGATTCTGTTTCTACGTAGACTGTACCTGGTGTTTTTTTTATGGGATTCTGTTTGATCCTTTTTCCTTTCTTTAACCTTTTAAAAATATTTATTTCCTGTATCCAGAGCAATCTCATCTTTTTCCTAGCAAGGTTATATCATTATCAACAATCTGCAATGGCAGTCTCTGAGAATAGTTGTTTAAAGCAAGGGCATGACAGTGCAGTGGCCTGCAAAGAGGGATCTGGTGCTACTTGAGATGTCCCCAAGGTAGCCAAAATATCTACGCAGGATAGGAGATATGATACAACTTACGAGAGACTTTGGAACTGCAGCTGGAGGCCAAGTGTGATATTAAAGGACATCAGAAATGTCATTAGACACCTATCTGTGGACAACAGAATCAAGACCCAGTTTGAAGAGCAGCTATTCAATTTCTGTGGAAAACAGAAGCAAAGAAGAAAGAAAGTGTCACTAGGTGACAATAGACAACGTTTGACCAAGCTACAAGTCAAGTAGAAAGAAACTGAAGAGCCAAAAGTTAAATACCATTCTCTTCATGAGTTATGGAATGTTTTTGGTGGGAGTGGCAGAACTAGTTTCACGTTTCTCCTTCAATAGCTTTAAAAAAACTTGATTTATTCTTAACCCCATCTTTTATTTTTTATGTAAAGTATTTAAGTCTGTCCTTTTTTATTCTTGACAAAATAACATGCAAAAAAATTTCATGGAGTTGCATACTCAAATAGTAAGCTAGACGTACATTCCTAGGGTCAAACTCCTGACATCCAAAAGGTCACGCATCTCTTCGGAGAGACTCAGTGTTACCTTTCTCATTCTCCTACACTGAATATTCCTCTTGTAGTTACAGAATCTAATAGGAACTCTCAAAACTGCAGTTGTCTTTTATAAGGATGATCAGTCTTAAAATGCCCTCCCTGCTCTCCTGTATTCTTGACTATAATAGTATTGGACATTTTAACAGCTGGCTTGGTTTAAGCATTTGGACGGACTCTGAATCATTTGCTTGTCTACACAAAAGCCATATTTAAGGTAGCTTTTTGATCAGGTTTGGTAAAAAGCTAAGGGTTAGACCGTTTCAGGATAGAAGTAGTTTACAACATCTTCATTGAGGTAGCTAATGTACTTAAAAGTTCCCAGGCAAGCAAGACTTCTTGCATTACATGACTTGCAATATTTGGACAGAAGTAGTTCATTCATTCTACAACTAGTCGTCTGCCTCAGTCCATGTTCTCAGATTGCCTCTACCAGCCTTTTACTTATTAGATCTGTGTAGGCAGTGTCATAAGAGAGAAAAAGAATGCTATTTACCAAAATAACTTTTTCTCCAGTGATTTGTCTATGCAGATTTACACCAGCTCCTCAGGTTTACTTTTACCTCAGGTATTTATGGAATGTAACAATGCTTAGGGAGTTAAGGAGTAGGAGATTTTTCTGTGTTTTCTTCCAGAACATTGGAATAGATGTGAACATTCCATTTAATATCTAACGTTTTCTATGGTTTCTGTTGCTTCATGGCAGGGAAAGTAATCCCAAAGGGGGGCCTCTTTGGAGGCAGTACATTCAAGGAACAAAATTTGCCATGGTAAGTGACTATTCTGATAGAAATTTTTCCAGTATCACTTTGTAAATTTCAGCATCTACTATTTAATTCACTTTTAGGAACCCAATTCTGGAAACACGTAGACTTTTAATGTAAGAACAGATCTTACACCATAAAAAATAACAAATTAACCAATGCACTAACAGTGGAAGATGAACATACAAACAAATTGATGATGTTTGATAGGGTGTTTCACAGACAAATGAAAAGTTGGAGTATTTTCAGTATAGTTCTCTGGATCCTCTCAGAAAAACATTTAGCCTTGCACTAGTCCATTAATGAAAGCACATGTTCGTGTTGCTGGATTTGCTTCTTACGGCGGGGTGAAATTTGATCCAATAATAGGTAAGGTTATGTTAATAACTAGAAAAAAACCCAAACTATAATGAGGGGAGATGGAACAAATATTGGTTTGGGCGAGGAGTTTTGGAAGGTTTTTGAAACAACTTTAAAAGGAGAGAGAAACTTGAAATGTCTGACTTGGAAATTAAACCCACTTAGAATTTAATTTGTGATTAACAGAGAAAGAAAACATAAACATAAATATTTTTGTATTGGTTTATTAAGCTTTATAATTTGTACAGGTTTCCTTCCTGAAGGAAATATAGAATGCTTTATTTTTTGTTGGTGCTATTTAACTACTACTACAGTGTTAGCAAATTAGCGTACTAGACTTGCAGTTAAACATGATTGTATTTTGGAGAATGTAAATTCTCTTGTAAGACTCAGAAATAATCTTAAAAAGTGGAATATAGTTATGCAAAGGTTCAGAAAATATACTTTGTTGCTAAACCACATCATTTTGGTAAAAATAAACAATAAATATAATTAGAGAATAGCCTTTTCTAGACTGTTAGTATAGTCTTTCATAGAATAGTATTATGTTCGATGTTCAAAATAGCATGTGCTTCTGCTCTTTAAAACATTATATTCTAGTACTTTAGGTGAACTGGACCTATTCCAAAACTGATACAGTAGATTGGTGTGCTAATTTAAAAGCTTATTGGATGGCAATTCAGCATCTTTTCTGACATCAGGAAAACCACAAACCAATTATTTTAAAAAGTAAATTCTTAATTGTTAGGTCAGATTTCTGAATATAGAAGAAAAAAATAAGGCTGTACTTAGTATTATTTAAGCAAATATGTAGTTACTGAAGGTGGAACATGGCTGCTGAATTCAGTGGTTTTCAGTGGCCCAAATTGCGATTGTTAACATTTGAAATATTTAGCATAAAAATTACTATGTTCAACAGCTTTCATGAATGACAGGTTCAGTTTTTCAAGTCTTGTTAATGTGAATAGTCCTCGCTCATTTGAGTAATCTCACTGGCGTCAATTAGATAAGTACGAGCAAGACTTTGTAGCAGACTGCATGTATGAATATGCATATTATATTAAAAAGTGAAAAAGTCAAGTTCTTCAGACACTTCAGTATGGAGGCCAGTGTCCAGAAAAAAATGTGCAGTAGATGTTTAGTAAAAGTTATTGCTAATGACTATGCTCCGCTGGATGAAAGCATTTCCTTTTTGTGTATGACTATGTGTAGGCATAACTAGGAAGGGGAAAGGGAGAAGGCTCAAATCTCCAATAGTTCTTGTTAAACTACGCTGTGTACTGACAATAGTCTGCTAATGTTGCTGTCATTACACTGCCTGTAATGAAGATCTAGGAGGTACGTTGTGCTATTCACTATGTTAACACACATAAATAACAAAAAGGATTGTCCCAATATTAGACAAATTACAAAGAAGTGTGAACAGGAGATAAAGGGCAAGTCTATAGAGATGTATAAAACCAGTGGTCTCTGTACAGTGGCCATTTTTAACTCTAATGGAGTTTTGGCATATCAGATGAATTTTAAGATGCCTCTTGAAAATAAAATAATGAAGCTTTGCAGGTACCCTTTGAATGTGAAGGAAAGGGTAAGGAAGGACTGTTAGAAAATAAAATACTTGGCTGAGATAGGTATCGTGATTCAATGTCTGAGTAGTCATTAAAAGGTAATTAATGTGTCAGTAAAAGCCTGGAAGGACTTTAAGACTCAAGTCAAATCTTTATTATTTGATGTGATGGGGAAGAGGAACCAGCATAGTGGAGAAAGAAGGGCAGTAACATGGTCAAAGTAGTGGGCTAAACAAAATTGTATTTGAAGTATCTTGTGGTCACTGAGTAAATTACCTTTGTCGTGAGCTTAAGAGCTGTGTTACAGTAATTGAGACATAAGATGAAAGTGATGAGAAAGTATGTTTTTATATATAAATATAAAACATATGAA